GAGGAAACCACTCTCCTGCTGTCCCCATGGCCCTCCCAACCATCCTGGCCTTTTATCCTTCCCAAAATCCCCACATCCTTCCCGGCCAGGAGGTGTGTCCCATGCCTGGGCCCACGCTATGGACACACTGGTTATCTTGCCAGCAGGGCCACAAAACCAGAGAAATGGTGGGTTCCCACTTTTAATCTATCCAGCCTCCAGTTTTCACAACACTCCTAAGAATTGTGCTTGGCCTGAACCTGCAGTACCTGAAGGGGCTGCAGGAAAACTGGGAAGGGTCTTTGGACAAGGGCAGGAGGGGAGAGGATGAGGGGTGATGGTTGCAAACTGGAAGAGGGGAGATTTAGGTGAGACATGAGGAGGGAATTCTTCCCTGTGAGGGTGGTGAGAGCCTGGCCCAGGTTGCTCAGGGAAGCTGTGGCTGCCCCATCCCTGGCAGTGTTGAAGGGCAGGTTGGATGGGGCTTGGAGCAGCCTGGGCTGGTGGGAGGTGTCCCTGCCCATGCCGTGGGGTGGGACTGGATGGTCTTTGAGGCCCTTTCTAATCCAAACCATCCTGTGATTCTATGACTCTATGACTCGTTGGAGGATGCTGTGCAATAAAGGCAGGGCTGAGCCAAGCAGAAAATGCCAGGCTGGTCCCCAGGGCCTGCAGCTCCCGGGGTGCAGCCTGGAAGGCGCCGTTACAGCCCCAGGGAGGTTCCAATGGAGACGTGATGCCAAGAGATCTTGGTTTGAGCTGCACGTGGAAATCTTTATTCTAGTAATCTCTCAGGAATTTCATTGCTGTTTCCCAGGGGAACTGATGTCCAAAAGGACTTGTAGGATTGAGTTGGGTAAACTTCAAATATTAAGCCATTTGCTGCCACGTTGCTTTTGCTTATTGAATCTGGTCAGCATTCTGTTTCTGTGAGAATTTAGGCCTCTTCACCTTAGGTTTTCAGGGATTGATTTTCAAAGGTGTGAAAAGATAATTTTAGGAAGGAGATGAACAGCTCTGTGCTTTTTGAAGGAATTACAGAAAACTCAGAGATGCTGTAATTAATAATTACTCGTCTTGGGCCAGAGCAAAATGAAGATAATAAAGTTTTGACACATAACTCTCAAATGCTGTGCTACAGTGTTGTGATGATAAATCAAAAACTGGAAGTCCAAAGAATGAATCATGTCATTGGTTACCAAGAAGCTTGGCCATATCTCTGAACGGTGGTGACCTATGGATGGGACAGGCCTAGAGAGAAGCACATGGACCAGATGTCCTGTCTGAAGAGCAGCAGAACTGAAAAGCACCTGCCTGCTGCAAGGGTGGGTGTGTGGTAGGTGCAGAAACCAGGCACAGCATGGAAAAGGGAAGAACATTTTTGAATGTCATTTGGAATCAATGGAAAGCCAGTTGCTCTGGGATCTAAGTTGTCTCAAAACAGTGAAGACCCGGAAGAAGAAAGGATCTCAGGAGAACTTATGCAAGGAAGTTTAGCTGAGACACTCCAGGCAAGAGTGAAGCCACCAGGAATCAAACCCGATGAAGGGGGCCTGGCTGAGGACAAAGTGTTCTGCTAGCAAGGCTGGAGAACTCTTGTTCCCACCATGGATCCAAGGACGTAGACCTGTTGGAGAGGGCCCAGAGAAGGGCCACCAAGATGATCCAAGGGCTGGAGCAGCTCTGCTCTGGAGCCAGGCTGGGAGAGTTGAGGTGTTCAGCCTGGAGAAGAGAAGGCTCCAGGGAGACCTTAGAGCAGCTTCCAGTGCCTGAAGGGGCTCCAGGAAAGCTGGGGAGGGGCTTTTCATCAGAGGAGACAGGGACAGGACAAGGGGTGATGGTTTTAAACTGAGAGAGGGGAGGTTTAGGTCAGATAGTAGAAAGAAATTCTTCACTCTCAGGGTGCTGAGGAACTGGGATGGGCTGCCCAGGGAGGTTGTTGATGCCCCATCCCTGGAGGTCCTTAAGGCCAGGTTTGATGAGGTTTGTGCAGCCTGGGCTGGTGGTTCCTGCTCGTGGCAGGGGAGTTGGAACTGGATGATCTTTAAGGTCCCTTCCAACCTTAACATTCAATGATGTTATGATTCTATCAATTACAGGAAGAGCCTCCAAATAGCACTTCAGTGTCTTATCACAGACCAGACTCTGCCTGAGAAGGGATGGAGGGGAGCAACCAGAGACATTTCCTCCTTCAGGGTGGTCTGCCTGAACTTCAGCAGGTTCTGGAGCAAGTCAGACAGCAGCACAGACAGTGCTACAGTTTCAGAATTTTTGGAGAGTGAACAGGAAGATGAGTGACACTAGGGTAGGACAGTATGTCCTTGGGCCCAAAAGTATCTTTCTGTGATCACTGGTCATGCCAGCCACCACAGGGAGCTTTTCCAGCTGCTTTGGAGAAGGGAGTGAGTCATGGTACCTCCTATTGGACAAGCCTACCCTAAGCTGGAAAAAACTAGAGAAAAACACCAGGAGCAAGGGACAGTGGTTGGCTCTGTGGGTGACAGACTCTGAGTTTAGAGGGTGTGAGGAATCCGGTTGTGCTTATTTCCATCTTTGCTGTCTCTAGCTAAAGACAACCCTCCTGAGCAGTTGCAGGTGTTTCTTCGGGGTATTCCTGAGGGAGCCGCGGTTACATCTGCTGGGGGCCCCAGGGGCAGCGTGCACGCGTGGGGTCACTGTTCTCCCGAGCTGTCGCTTGGTGGTGACACCCCCGGCCCGTAACGCGGTGAATGTTACCCGGGTGCTGTTCTGGTTCCCCCCGGTGGTTCCACTCCTTGGTTTTGGCAGCGAGTTAAAGTTCCTTTGAGTTTATTACCTGTGTGGAGCCGTGGGGCAGGGCGGGCAGGGTGACAGGAGCCCAGGCTGCCGGAGCTGAGGGGTCTCAGCAGCAGAGGGGCTGGGGGAACGTGTGGCCCCCCCAGGGCCTGCCTGGTGCCCTCCTGAGGGCCCAGAGCTCCCCCCTGGCACCCCTGGCACCCCTGACTCCTCAGCTCCGGCGTGGTGTGAGGTGCAGGTGCTGGCTGCTGTGCACAGACAAAAAAAGGTTCCTCTGAAGAAAGAGGAAGATTTGGTTCCCTGAGAGTTTAAAGAAGGTTTAATGTAAGGTAAGTTTAATGTAAGGTTGCCCATTGGTGTTTTGTCCAGTTGCCATTCCTGGAGCAGCCAGTAGTCCCCAAGTCCAGGGGACCTTATCAAGAAGGATTTTAGTTTTGTGACAGAGTAACATTGCTGGAGTAACGTTGGTCCTGGTTCTGAGGAGAGGGCTGTACTGCCTGTTACATGGCATGGCTGCCTCCACTAAAGCATTGGTTGAAAAATGGCATTTTGTCAAGGCCAGATATTGGTGTTGATGAGTGGAGGACAAGGGTGTGAGTTGGAGAAGTATCAGCAGGTTGTGGTGATGGACAGTGCCCACCAGCTGTGACCATGCTGCTTGGTCTCCAAGGCAAATCTAGCTGGTCCTGAGCTCTGCAGGGTGGTCACACAGGACTCCTTGTCTGGTTAATAGTTCCCAAATCTCCATCTAGAGCAGTGGAGACAGGAGAGGTCTGTGTGTTTTCAGGCTCAGAGGAGCCAACACAAGAACAGGACAGGCCAATAGCCTGCTGTAAGCAGATCTGGCAGGGGTGTTGGAGGGCCTTGTTTTGGTGTTCCTCCACCTAGACCATCAGACATCTCTGCAAGGAGAGGTGATGGGTCGTGGTCAGGAGAAGTGTGGACATTCTCTCCTCTGAAGTTAGGTGCCAGTTCTGCTGAGGATGCTTCTGTGGTGCATTTATGGTTTGAGTGGGCCCAGCAAATTTGTTGGCACCTGTAAGAGGAACTAGAGAGAGGGTCTTCAGGATTCCTGGGATGGTTGGAACAGAGAGGGGTCTGTGTTCCCTTCCACTTCCTGCCATGCTCTAAAAGCCAGGAGAACTGGAAGCCCTGTCCCTTTTTCTCCTGCACCCTTCCTCCTCACTGCTGCTGCAATCAGAGGCTCCTGTTTTCCCCTCATCTCGCCATGTGCTCTGCAGAATCCAACTCCATCAGGTGCTGTGAGGAGCTGTGAACCCCTCTCCCAAGTCAGCCTTGCCCTGTGGTCATTGAGATCAGTTTTGTATATATTGGTATGTAAGTTCATACATTACCTTAACCAACGTGTTACTCCCTTTTCTGTGTTCTAGTAAACTTGTTCCATTTTCAATTTCCAACCTGTAAGTTTCCCTTCCGTGTTCCCTTTTTGCTACTAGAGAGCAATTCTGCCCTCTGGTTGCTTGTTTGGCCTGACCACTGAGCTGGGGCAGGTGCCTTGTCAGTCCTTGCAGCCAGCAGGGCAGTGCTCAGGACCTTCCCCTTCCCTCACCCCAGCCCCAGTCTGACTGCTCACTCACCTCCTGCTCAGGGTTTGGCTCCTCCAGCTGGTGCCAGGGCTGCTCTGTGCTGGGATCAGCACCGCTGGGATGGACTGAGAGCACCAATGGGCAGCAGAGCCAGAAGAGCCTCAGGGCCCCGGTGCAGCCCTGACCATCTCCTGCCGCCGCCAGTTCTGCCTGCTGGTACAGAATCTGCTGGCCTTGGGGAACAGGATCGACCCGACTGCCAAGCTGGGAGGTGCAGAACATCAGCTCACCCAGAGAGCCCTTAGCTGGGCTGCTGAGGCTTTTCTGCTTCTCAGAGTGAGAGGAGGGACAGCCACGCTGTGATGGAGGAGGAAGGATGAGCACCCTCGTGGGGGGGGCTAACTGTTTATTGGGTTGTTGGGTTTTTTTGGTTCTGTTTTTTTGCTTTTCAGTGCATGAATTAAATTATTTTTCAGTGTAACGAACCCTCACTACTCGGGTGGTGAACACACGGACTCGCAGATCACCGAGTCTGTGCAGAGGGGTCTGAACTCCCTGCGTTTCTTCCTGAGCTTTTGAAACGAAGCCCAATCGGCAGAGCACGCTGTGCAGCTGAAGTCTCTCCTCGCACACCGGTTCCCCCGGCTCCTGCAGCACCGCGGGGAGGAGGCTCCGCCGTCCCACCGTGCGGGTTTGGGCGCCGCAGCTCCGAGGGCTCTCCCAGCTCTGCAGCCTCCTGGGGCGCTGCAATCCTGTCCCCGCACCCCGCCCCGGGGCCGTTTCCTCCCGCCTTTTCTCCCGGACTCGCCGCGGTTTGAGCGCCCCGGGGCCCTGACGAGTGTCCGGGCAGGCCGGGCCGGTGATGGCGGAGGCCGGGGAGGCTGCGCGGGGCCC